ATGATGATTGTATGTGACCTTTTGCTCGTTCAGTTTTGGGGCCATGTCTGACTGTGATATGGTGGAGATTCCTTTAATTTGGCATCAGTTCCTTCCAGAGGCTGCAAAGGACCATGAGATTGCATGCAAGAAACACGAAGCGGCCCTGCGCAAGCATGATGACGCAGCCCGGAAGCACGAATCAGAGCTGCAAACCCTTGGGACCCAGGTCGCGGACTCCAACATCGATCCAAGACAGCGTACAAAACTCGACAAGAAAATCAAAGATCTAGTGGCGAAGTCCCCGAAGCCTCCATCAAAACCGACGCCGCGCATGCAGGACGCAGAGGTTCCGCTCATGCTGTCTCTCGCTGGGGCACTGAAGCTCCTCCTCGGTGGCTCGACAACGGAGGAGCAACGCCAGCGTGGGGCATGTCTACTCTTTGCATATTTGCAGGATTTCAAGCGTGTATGAACCCTTGTAACCTCCTTATTGTGTTGCGCTCTGCTCATCGCTCATTTGATAGATATATGGGGTAGATGCAATGGTGCCGAACCATCACTACGCCACGCACATCCCGGCACAGCTTGAAGAGTACGGCACCGTGTACGAAATCTGGGCGTTTCTGGCAGAGCGACTCAACAAAACACTGAAAAGCACGAATCAAAACAACCGGCGCGGAGGCCAACAAGAGGTTACGATGATGCGGGAATTCGATCGGCACATGCAAGTTCGGGCTATTGTAACCTCCAACTGTTTATATCTCATTGAGTTACTGATGTGAAACCGACATATCACAGGTGGATCATGTGTCGAATCTCGCACCAGATGGTACACTTGCGGTCGATGTCTCGCGCACAATCACCCAACGCTTTTTGCACGAGTCGCGCGAGGCTCGCGGAACTGTGGAGGCCACCGGAACGGCCGGTCAAGATCGTGAACGGAGGGTCCAAGATGACGGTAGGTTTGGTGACTTTGTTTTGCAATTCAGTGGGCTAAAACAATACGGCTCGCAGCGTGTCTTTCCACCCTGGTTGGGCTTGGTATCCAATCAGCGCGAGCCTTCAATCTCGATATTCCACTATGCAACGGGGTCCTTGATTGGTATAGGCAACAGCAACGCAACGTGCCCGCAGGTGAACAGGCATCTCTCTACCATGCTCATGATCGCCACGCACCCTCTGGTGCGACATTTTTAGACCCAACGGCCCGTACACTTAGTTACGTGGTTCTCAATGGCCGGCGTATCACGCCGAAGACTTCTTCAGGTATAGTAAAGGTGTCACTGGACGGCCACCCTTACTTGGCAGGCGACGTCGTGCAGTTTTTCCTCCATCAGCAACCAGGCTTTTCATCTCCGGCTATATTTGCGGAGATGATGTGGCTTGTCCCTCAAAACATCGCCCAAGTGGCAAATAATCCATGGCACGAGTTGTGAGTTGTACTACATTTTCATTGCGCTATTGCAGCATATCTTACCATGTTCATATGAGCCCGGAGCTCGAAGTCAGGTGTTGGAAGTACCGCGAGTATACACCCCGTGTTGTTGCGACAGGTATTCCCCCGTTAATTCCAGTCACGGCCATTCGGTGCCAGCTCGCACGCGGCGTGTATGATCTCCGGTCACCGCATCTGTGGCTCACTACAACCCTTGGCGGTGTGCGTGACATCCTCTCTTTATTCATTCAACTCAGTTCTTAACGCGATCATTTGATCAAGGACGCTATATCTATGGAATCGTTGGCAGACCTGGAGAACGTCCTACCGTAATGCATGGTATGCGTGACATCATTGACTCATGCTCATATGACACGCTCACCCCACTTGAATAGACAGATAGCTACGTGTCGCGCCAATTAATACATGGATCTGATAGGTTGTTACAATCGACACACCGCAGGTCCCTTCGGACACGATCGACAACATGATGCCGACATCTACAAACGAGTGCATTCCACCCAAAATCGCTACGCTGAACGTCTACCACCACGTTCATGGAGTTCACCTTGGAGCGCCATGCTC